CCGGGTTACACCACAGTTCTTGGACAGAAAGGGGGCCTCATATTTATTTTTTTAAAACATTTTTATTGATTTCAGAGAGAAAAGGAGAGGGAGAGAGACATAGAAACATCAGCGATGAGAGAGAATCATTGATCAGCTACCTCCTGCACGCCCTGTGCTGGGAATCGACCCCACAATCCGGGCATGTGCCCTGACCGGAATCAAACCATGAACTCTTGGTTCATAGGTCAATGCTCAACCACTGAGCCATGCCAGCCGGGCAGGGGACCTCATTTATAAAAGAACTTTTAAAATTACAGAAATATCTCCTATAGAATGTAAATAATACCCATAATTTTGCTATCCAGAGATAGTTGTCAACATTTCGGTATAAATCTTTGGTGTACTTTTAGTTTTTTTATGATGCAGCCCCTTTTGGAAGTTCAACTAGTGTGTTAATCTCTACCCATGGGGTATATTTATAGCTAATATCATGCTACACGAGAGTATTGTTGGGCATTTTTTGTTTTCTTCTTTATTTTAAATTCATCAAGTCCGGGTCTCCTCAGCAGCATCTCAGCCCTATAGAATATGCAAGTCCTTGCTGAGGAGCAGTGATCACTGTTCATTGAAGTGTCCGTTTCAACACTGCTAATCATGCGGGGTTTTCTTTCCCCCACTCTAAATTATTCTTGTTTTTAAAAATCTTAGTACAGACTTGGTGTGGTGAGCACACAGTACAGTGTACAGATGATGGTTGTGGAATTGTGCACCTAAAACCCCTATAATTTTGTTAACTAGTGTCACCCCAATAAAGTCAATAAAAAGGAAAATAAAATAAAAATCTCAGTACAGTGGAAAGCTCTACAATTTAGCCCTTTATCTAGTTTATGGAATAACAGCAACAATAATAGCTATAATTTATTGTTTGTTTTGTGCCTGGCACGAAGCTAGCTGCTTTTTGAGGAGTTAATCCTATAAACGTTATAACCATCCCAAGAGGTCAGTGCTGTTATTGTCTCCTTTTTCAGTTGCAAAATCCAAGCCACCAAGAGGTTAAGGGAATTGCATTTTGCTTAAATGGACCATATCAGGTATAGCAAGTGTAACCCAAGCCCAGCACCCCTGATGGAGAGGACCTGGCTCCTGCCCGCTCAGCTGAACTCACGGGCAGGCGGGGCTGGGAGACCCTCAGGGACAGACCAGTGAGTGGATCGTGGCAGTATTTGTGGTCTGCCCCGGTTTTCTGCTGTTCCAGACTTGCCTTGGCTCCTTGAGGGAGTGGCTCCCTCCTCCAGGAAGTATTGACTTTCCTGTGGACTTACCGGAAAGCCTTATCAGCTCGCAGCCAGGAAGCTTGCTGCTACCAGGGCTGCAACCGTTTTGGCTTTGAGAGGCCATTACTGCCCGCCTCCTTTTCCCACTGCTGGGCTCAGTGGCTTTTTCCTCATTCAGTCACAGGTGTCTTACAGGTTCAGGCTGGGATCCTGATTGGCAAAAGTGGCACACTCCCTAGTGATGCCTTTACCCATCCTCAGCCTTTTAGACTAGAGTTTCTGAATCTGGAGAAGAGAGTAGAACCACCCCCCCCCCCCCCACACACACACACACATGCACACACATTCTTCTTCTAGGGAGTGTACCTGGGGTGTGTGTGGTGATGTGAAGAACTTTTTCCTTGGGGTCCCAGGCATCAGGCCCTTTTCCCAGGGACACACCTGCTTAAAGATCCTAAGTTGGGAACAGCCTAGGAAAGATTCTGATGCATTTTTCTTAAGGGGGGAAAATCTCAATTAGACTTTTTTTAGTAGCGTCTTGGCTCCTTCTGAGCTTTTGCATTTGCCCTTGAAATGAGTTCATTTGGTAACCTAGGAGACCTTGTCAGCTGGAGGATTTTAGGGAGACGGTTCAAGATTGTTATTTGAGTTGTTCTTAGTGGGATAAAAATAGATTTCTGCTTTGGGAGTGTGCGTATAATGGGTAGTTTATAAAGGATCAATATCCTCCCTTCCTTCCCTCCGCGCCCCCCCAACCCCCCAAATAAGCCCTGTCCATGTACCCTTGGGCAGCTGTGGGTAACCATGACCTCCTGAAGGCTCTCAAGGGGCCCCTCTGGAGAAGGTGTCTTTTGTGGCTGCAGGGTCCCCTCTCTCTGACCCGGGCAGGCTCGGGACCCTGAGCTCCCTTTGCTCACTTGATGTTCCCTAAGACTCCTCTAGTCAGACTGATCCCTTCTGGATAAAGTGATGGTTCAGATACCAGGGACTGCCCTCAGCCATTTCAGGAAGGTTCAGAATGAGCCGAGAGCTCTTGAAGGGTTTCAACTGGCAGAAGTAGGAGTGACTCCCTTCCTTAAGAGCTTAAGGCTGACAGGGTCTTCATATTTTTAATCAGTAATGCTTTGCCGTCGCTTAAGAAAATAGTCAGCTAAGCCCATGTCTATAGCCTTTTTACAAGACAGGCCGGAAACAGCTTTTCCAACAGAGGTAAAAAGTGCAAGAGAGATTGTTTATTCCGTTCACGCATTCATTCACTCATTGGTTCATTCATTCCTTCCACATCTCCTGTATGGCAGGTCTACTGAGTGTGCCCTGTGCAAGACTAGGAGCTTAGAGTGGAAAGTGACACTGGAGTCCTCAGCATTTTTATCCAGGTAGAATCAGGAGCTAAGGGTTCATCTTAGAGGTCAAAAGGAATTCTGAACAGGATCATTCCCTGTTCCAGCAGGGGAGAAGGGTGGTGAGGAAGGGGGTTGGTAGAAGGATTCTTGGTGGTCAGCTCCAGCCTGCTATTGGTAGTAGGTAGTTAGGATGGCTGTGTGCTTGTGACATCATTAGGAGGCAGTGCCCCCTGCCTTCCTAGGTTATCGCCCAGCAACCTGGCATCCACATGGAGTTGGGCTCAGGCAGTACTTAGGGGAAATAGACGCCTCTTTTACCCCATTTCCATGTCTCTTGTTCAGTCTTTTAAAAGACTCAATTCATTGTGTAAAGAGAAAAATAGTCTATAGATCTCCTACCACCTTTACATAATACCCATGTTGCTCCTGGGTATCTCAGCACTGAGGGAGTCCTGCCTTCTGTCCGTTAGGTCTCTGTCTTGGGAGTAATAACAGCAGCTAGTGTATACTGAGTACCTGCTGTCCACTCATCACTGACCTATTAGCTCATTAAGCCCCTGAAGAACCCAGTGAGGCTGCAGGTACTATTATTTCCCCATTAGGACACTGAAGCTGTGAGAGGTGGTCATACCTCAAGGTGGCATTGAGAGAGGACCCCAGGGTATCCAACGCCAGAGCCACCTCTCCCCATCTATAGTGTTCCTAAGAGACATGGACATGCGAGGCCCAAGATATTGGGGTCTGCTTGTGCTGCTATCCGGGCACTTGACTAACGATGACAGCGGGGCTGCAAGAGTGTGCCCTAGCTGGTGTCTGCCCGGCTTCCAGTTTGCTGAGAGTCCCTGTTCTCCAAACCGGTGGTGCTATAAATAAACCCATCACTTGGGCAGCTACACCCAGCTCAGTGGGTGGGGAGCAGTGCGATGCCTTCTGTTATTTCTGACACACCAGAGGCTCCCGAACAGTCGCTCCGCCTCCACGGCCAACCCCACTCAGTTTCCCACCATAGGGTTTTCATCACAAGGATTAGCCTGTTTCTTCTATTTCAATGGAAAGATGGTTGGTCAGTCATGATGTTGGAGACTTTTTTCATTTTCTTTTTTAAAAATTTTAATGATTTCAGAGAGGGAGGGAGAGGTAGAGAGAGTTAGAAATGTCAATGATGAGAGAGAATCATTGATCGGCTGCCTCCTGCCCACCCCCCACTGGGGATGGAGCCCACAACCTGGGCATGTGCCCTGACCGGGAATAGAACCATGACTCCCTGGTTCATAGGTCAACATTCAACCACTGAGCCACTGAACCACTAAAGTTCATCAAGCTTTAGTGACAGGCTGACTAGAACTGGTATTGTTGACCATGGAAGGGAGTTGCTGCCCTAAACTCTGGCCCTGTCTCCCAGACCAGCAGAGTTCTAGTCAGAGTCCTACAGGCCAGGCACCCCTCTCTCTCTTTCTCCACTGGGGAAGGCTCTAGCTTCTCATTTGCCAAATGGCACTCTCAGTGGGCGAGGTGGTGGCTTTCAGGACCCTTTGTCATTGGCTTTGGGCAGCTGTTGGCTTGTGGCAGTGTTACTGAGAAGCAGGCATCGTTGTAGGTAACTTGGCAGAGCCACCCCCCCATCCCATTCCTTCCAAGTCTATAAGGATGACCTTTGTTGCTCTGAAATGGTGGGCAGTGTGCTGCGGGAGTAGAGCACGGGAGGGGACAGTCCTTACAAAGGGAGATCTGCCTCGAGTCACCTCCTCTCCATGTTTGTTGAGAGTGGTCACCATGTCCCATCCCTGACCTTAGAACTCACCTGCATCAGGTCTCCAAAACTGAGGTGCATTTAGGTGAAAACACAACTATTTTTACTATCACAAAATTAAGCCTGACAGCGGAGGAAGAAAACAGCCTGGGGTGCTTTGCATAAATATATCTGCTAGAACTGTTAATCAGTAACGCAGGAATCTGGTACGTGCTGAAGCCAGCTGTGGTCTGTATACCTAAGATAACAACACACTTTGTGTTCAGTAAAAATGATATGGCAATATTTGCCTTATCACACACTCAGTGGGTACTGTTTGAACGAGACTTCTGAGGCCGGCACAGTGTGACTCAGACTAATACTGCCGATAACAGAGCAGCCTGTGCCCGTCTGTGCCTGGACACTAATTGGTAGAACCTAACAGCTACCGCCTTGCCTTGGTGATCTCTGCCCATTTGGACAAGTTCCAAAGGGCCAGCTCCCCTCACAGTAGCCTCTCCATTTCCCCCCTGTAATCCAGTGCCTGAAAACCAGGAAAATAATAGTTTTTCTCATTTCTATTTAGTTCCAAAATCATGGCAGTCGTCTTATATTCAGGAGCCATTCACTGACACTGGGAACTTGTGGTTTCTGAAGTCTATTTCTGTTCTACTCTTGCCTTTTCTCTCATTACTGTTTCTGTGATTCCAAGCATCTTTCCTGCTGCTCAGCAGGATATGAAATAACAGCTCGTGCAGTAATTACCGTCTCCACCGCCCCTCCTTGGGGCAAGGGGAGCCAGGCCATGATGACTCTATCAGTGAGAAGCCGGGGCTGTTCCATTTCTGGGTGAGCCACTCACTAGCCATCGTTTCTTTAAATTTACTTATATTAGCATAAGGGAAGAGAAAGGAGGACAGAGCAGTAACAAAATTGACACTCTTCTTAGCTCTCTGTAAGGATCTGCCCTGATTTTTAATCCAGTTGTGTTTATCATTGGTCCCACCCAATGTGAGCTTCCTCAATAGGTCTCTGGCTCTTTTTCTAAATGGTCTGTGAGCTGCCTGAGTTGGGAAAGATGCCTTTTATTCCGGGAATCCCCTGCAGGGTTGGCTGTGTTAGGAAAATGAGAAGTGATCATGTGAGCAGGGAGAGAGACTGAGCTTAGTGTCAGCAACAGCAGCTTGTTTCTCCTTCAGCACATCCGGCTTGTGAGATGGAGCAGGAGCCGTCTGCAAGAGTCTGCGGCGGGAGGCGGGTGGGCACACAGGCAGGCAGAGTGGACTTTTGGATGACGAGGATGTGCCTGGACCTGGCTGGAGTCCAGGCTGGCCCCAGGGGACTGCAGGGTTGATTCAGGCTCCAAACGGAAGAGATCTGAACTGCTTCGGAACAGAACGTCCCCAAGCCACTGGCATAGTTTTGCCTGCTTTGAGGCTCGGCTCTGGTGTCTTTCCTCCTCAGGGTGTTGAGGTACCTGGAATCCTCAGGAATAAGCAGAGGAAATAATGTAGGAGGTAAAATATTGAATAAAAGTGATCATTTTAACCTGTTTAATCCCCACCTGAGGGTATTTTCCCATTGATTTTTAGTGAGTGGAAGGGAGGGGGGAAAGATAGAGAGAGGCATTGATGTGAGAGAGACACATCGATTGGTTGCCTCCAGCATGTGCCCCGACCAGGGCTGGGAAACTGAGATATGTGCCCTTAACCAGAATGGAACCCGGGACCCTTCAGTCCGAGGGCTGATGCTCTCTCTATCCACTGAGCCAAACTGACTAGGGCATATTTTTTTTTTATCAGTTTTTAAGTATACAGTTTAGTGGCATTAAGTACCTTCACATTGTTATGCAACTGTCACTTTAATCTTCCCAAATTAAAGCTCCATAACAATTAAACAATAGCGCCCTCCCGCCAAAGCCCTGGCAACCATCCTTTCCATCTATGAATTTGACTGTTCTTGGTACCTTCTATAAGTGGAATCATACAATATGTGTCCTTCTGTATCTATCTTATTTCACTTAGCATAATGTCTCGAAGGTTCACCCGTGTTGTAGCTTGGGTCAGAGTTATTTCCTTTTTAAGGCTGAATAGTATTCCATTGTATGTATAGACCACATTTTGTTTATCCTTTCATCCATCAATGGACACTGGGTTGTTTCCACCTCTTGGCTCTTGTGAATATGCTGCTGTGAGCATGGCTCTGAACAAATACCTGCTTGAGTCCTTGCTTTCAGTTCTTTGGGTAAGAGTTTTAAAACACAAGAGCAAGGTGTCTTTGAAGGTCAGTTTCTGATGAATCACCTTCTCCACCGAGGGCTGGACTTGCAGACCGAAAGTCAGCTTTACTCACCAGCTAATTTTAGACTCCAACATAACCACACTGGTCACTTGTAACATCATATTTCATTTTGATATTTGACCGGCTTTCACAACGTTACGATTCAGTTTTACAAATTACGTGCCATTGACAATACTTAGTTGTGATTGTAGGGCACTCTTGTCACTCAGAGGTGGGCATGGCACTAGACAGTGCACCTTAGTCAGCTGGCTGCTCTAGGGGTTGAAGGCTCTCACTGACTCTGCCCCTCCTGACCCAGTCGGGCTGTTCTTTGGCCTTGTCCCCAGACCAGGGTCTGTCCTGGGACCTGAAACCCTGAGCCCACTGACAGCCGAGGCTTAGGCCACTCGTCTTACACTCGTGCAGCTTCGTGCAGGCATGATAGTGTCCTCTGTGTCTGCTGGTTCTTGTCACCTGTTTTATTTCATCCAGTTCTTACACAACATTTTTAGCATAATTAGAATTATATGTAATCTTTTTTCTGAAATTCCTTGTCATTCGGAGTTGCCATAAGGTCTGGTTTTCCTTGCATCAGCTTAGAACTAGTCGTAGGGAAGTGGTAAGGTGTACACACCTGGGGTAATAGGCTTTCGATGGATTCAGCTGTCCTGGCATGGGTCTCTCTACCTCTGGAAAAGACCTCCTTAGGCCAGTGCCCCTCTGTATTTGCCAGACCAGTTAGGAAGTGGAGATGGCTGGTTGTGAAAGTCTTACCTTCGTGGGCACATGGTTATTTTCTGTGTTAATTTCTTATTGGAAATTCTCCAAACCCACAAATGAGCCAACTCCAACCTCTTCTGCGTAGCCAAGGACAGTCGCCAGTGCCCCGGCAGACTCTGAGCCCCTGGTACAGTGAGGACCTAGCCCGTGGGCACACGGCCTTGTGAGTCCCTGCCACTGTGGCTACCTGTCCTGGCTGGAAGGCTTTGGGGGCTGCGTGTTGACTGCCACTGCGCGCTCCTAGTTCCCGTCCACCTCGTGCTGCCCTCTGTGTGCCCCAGGCCCTGAGGGGCAGCTCACGGAGAAGCCTTGTACCCTGCACTTGGGAACTCCTAGTCTAGTTAAGGCAGTTGGAAACCCTAGAGATAAACCAGCCATTTCTGAGACAATCCTATTTTCTTGTTCTGTTTCAGTGACAGGAATGAAAACCTTGCTGGCATACAAAGGGAAAGTCTCCTGCCCTTACCCCCAGCGCTGACCTGGCACTCCGCAATGTGTCCTGTTCGGTAGCCTGCCCTTTCATCTGAAGACTTCCCCTGGCCCCCTGTCTCGGTGCCGCCTTCCTCTTAAGGACTGCTTGCTGTTCCTGAGGCTGTTTCAAATGATCGTAATGATAGTGCGGTAGCAGCAGCTCAGAGTCAGAAAGGTCTTGATGGGCTGGCCTCCGTCCGGAAGGCCCCGAGGAGATGCTGGGAGCCTCTTCTCTCTTCTCAGGCTGACTGTTGCCTTCTCCTACTGCTGGGGCACAGGGCTGCAGGGGCCCGGAGGGGAGAGGATAGGAGTCAAGTGATATCTTGTTGCCAACCCATTTTAATTGCTTTGGAGCTTCACTGCAGACACCACAGTCAACCCTGCTTTTCACAGGTCATGACACTGAAGCTCCGAGGTGAAGGGAGGCCCGAGTTGGGGCCAAGCTAAACTGGATGGAGCCTGAACCCAGCAGGAAGGAAGGGGTGCTGATGAGTCTGCGCTGGGATGAGTGGAGAAGGCACGAGTACACGCTTAGCTGTGGCCGCAGTTTTAGTCCCCGGGTGGTTGCCTTTTGAGGGTTTGTTGTAGATGCTGGAGGATGAAGGGAGGAGTTTGCCAGACAGCAGAGCAGATGCTTCTCAGAGGAGCAGAAAAGTCTGTGTCAGGTGGAGAAAAGCCTTTCACACAGTAACCCAACCTCAGCGAGGTTTCTGGCCTGGACCGTGGGAGGGTCCCACGAATGAATCCGGCAGCTGTTCCTGGACCCGACAGGGAGAGGGGGCACTGTCCTGCCCTGGGGCAGGAGCCATTCCTCTGGCTGGGCGAGAAGGAAGAGGTCGATCAAGGGGTGCACAGCCAGATCCTGGAGGCAGGCTGGTGTCTCTGCTCATGGGTGTCAGTGTCTGTGCAGAGAAGCTAAGAAATCGCAGATGGTTTAGGCAGGTGCCTGTGAGGCCCACTGTGTGGTTTCCTGCTGGGGTGAGTGGCCACTGAGCCTGGAGTACCTGGGCCTTCAGTGATGGGGCAGGTTATCGCTAGCATGGGCCTGGTCTGTCTGTGGCGCTTGGTCACAGCCCCTGTGTTGCTGTCCTGTTTGTTCCCATGCTAGCTAGGTCCCTCTTCTGTCCCAGGCTCCGTGTATCGGCTCCCTGCCTCCTGCCCTGGGTGCTGCTCTGTCCTGAGCCCTGTCTGAATTCCCAGAGTCATACTTCTCAAAGATGTGACCATGTTTCCCCAACCTGAACCTGGGTTCTGATGCCATGTGGTTGGTTGAGGCCAAAGGCAAGGTGAAGGGACTGTCTGTGTGCATGCACGAGCTGGGGCGAGGGCAGGACCTTGCGTTCCTGGCAGTTCCCCGCCAGCATGGGTCTCCCGGAGGTGCCTGGCCCTGTTCTCTCTCCCGACAGTGAAGGCCCCGCTGGTCTCGCAGGCCTTTGCTCCCAGAACAGCCGATGGCTCTGCCTTCTCGCCTCGTTTATTTCCGAGGCTTCTCCCCAGAGTCCGGGTGAGCCCTCTTTCTGTCTGCCTGTCTGGATCTGCTACGAGAGGCCTGCTCTTTACTCAGTCAGGGAGGGGTCTGCCTAAAGGGTCATTGTCATTTGAAAAACATTGTCATTTGAATAACAGTAATAACATCAGTGAACATTTATTGACCGATTTACCATGTGCCAGGCACTGCTAAGTGTTTTACATGCCAGTCTCTTAATTTTCCCAACAGCCCTGCGGGGTGTATATTACTAATCTTGCCCCTATTTTACAGCAGAGGAAACTGAGGCAGAGAGGCTGTCACCTGCCAAGGTTACATGGCAAATGAGTAGATGAGTCTATTCAATCCAATTTGATGTCTGATTAAAATCTCTGTTCTGAAATCCTAATTGTGGTTTCTCCCACTAAATTGGAATAGTGCCTGGGAACTGTGACCTGGATTAATTGGAGTGACAGTATCAGGTAGGGAGGTTCCTTCCCTGCTTCTCTACACACACACACACACAAAACAAAACTGTCCACACACACACACACACACACACACACACACACACACACACACACCCACCCCCCCCACCCCCCTTGCTGAACCTCAGGCTTCTGGGAAGAAATGTCCCTGGGCCAGCTTTGGTAAGGGGTGGGGGCCTGGAGAAGTGGGACAGAGCCTTTCTGAGAGTACAGCTGGTGCCCGCTGCAGCTTGTCATTTTTTAAGTTGCAGGGCGGGGTAGTCTCTGACCCCCAGAGGGATGTGCGATGCACACCTTGCCCACTGCAGCCCTCAGCACTGCTGGGGGTTCAGGGCAGCTCTGTGTCCGCTCTGTGAATACAGCCCTAAGTTGGCTCCTGCCTCCTCACAGCAAAACTGTCCTCACCGGCTGAAACCGGTTTGGCTCAGTGGATAGAGCGTCGGCCTGCGGACTCAAGGGTCCCAGATTCGATTCCGGTCAAGGGCATGTACCTTGGTTGCGGGCACATTCCCAGTAGGGTGTGTGCAGGAGGCAGCTGATCGATGTTTCTCTCTCATCGATGTTTCTAACTCTCTAACTCTCTCCCTTCCTCTCTGTAAAAAATCAATAAAATATATTTAAAAAAAAAAAACAAAACAAAACTGTCCTCACCAACTTTCCAGACACCAGAATTCTGCAACCACCAACTACAGGCCTTAGTGCTTGAAGCCCAGAATTTCAGCGCAAAGAATTCACACTTTTCTTTGGATTATTAGGCAAGTACTAGCCTTCACACTGTGCATGTGCCTAGAATTGGATTCCCTGACTCATGAAAGGAGCTTCCCAGAGAGCACTCAAAAGCCTCCTAAAAGGAGCTGAGTCAGGGCTGAGCTGCACTGGGCTGAGAAGCAGCCTTCCTTGTAGGTTGATCCAGGTCTTGCAAAACGAGGGAATTTGGCTATGAGAGACCTGAGGACCTTAGGTAGGGCCAGGTAGCGGGGTTGCTGATCATAGCTGGCTACAGATCCATGGGCTCTGACTGCACAGTCTAGATGGCCAAAGAGAAAGTGGGTAGGAAGGAGGAACCCAGACGTTTTTGAGTGAAGGAGTGACATGATGGGAAGTTACGTTGAGAACAGTGGGAGTGGACTTAGCAGTGTGGCCAGGTCTGCAAGCGTGAGCCCTGTTTAGTCATGTTTACACATATCCTGTTTTTAAAATATAAATACATTGGTGCCCTGGCCAGCGTGGCTCAGTTGTTTGGGTGTCGTCCCGTGCACCAAAAGGTTGCCAGTTCAATTCCTGGTCAGGGCACATGCCCAGGTTGCGGGCTCAATCCCTGGTAGAGGGCATGCAGAAGGCAGCCGAGCAATGTTTCACTCTCACATCAATGTTTCTCTCCCTCCCTCTCTCTCTAAAAATATTAAAAATTAAATACATATATACTGTTAAGAATAAATTAAGCCCTAGCTGGTTTGGCTCAGTGGATAGAGTGTCAGCCTGCAGACTGAAGGGTCCCAGGTTCGATTCTGGTCAAGGGCACATGCCAAGGTTGCGGGCTCAATCCCCAGTAGGGAGAATGTAGGAGGCAGCCAGTCAGTGATTCTCTCTCGTCATTGATGTTTCTATCTCTCTCTCCCCTCTCCCTTCCTCTCTGAAATCAATAAAAATATATTTTAAAAAATAATAAATTAAAATGTGTGTACTTGCATTAAAAACAAACAAACAGCCAAAACCGGTTTGGCTCAGTGGATAGAGCATCAGCCTGCAGACTGAAAGGTCCCAGGTTCGATTCCGGTCAAGGGCATGTACCTGGGTTGTGGGCACATCCCCAGTGGGAGATGTGCAGGAGGCAGCTGATCGATGTTTCTAACTCTCTATCTCTCTCCCTTCCTCTCTGTAAAAAATCAATAAAATATATTAAAAACAAACACACACCGACACGAGAATACCACCTCCTAGTCGATTCTGGCCACACCTATAGCCCCTCATGCAGTTGCCTCCTCTATGCATTGGGACCACAGAGTGTGCAGGACTTTACAGACTTCAGTCCGATGATGAAAAGAATGATGAAGGCTGACTCTGGGAGCAGTAGGCAGGTGCTTGGGCTGAGGAGGCTTTGGCCCCATGTCCCAGCAATCCATGGTGGTGTGGAGGGCCCCTGAGGCAGAGTAGAGATGTGGAGGGGATATTTCCAGGACAAAGGAGACAGTGAGCCTATTGAGTATGTATTGCCAGTGTCAAGAGAAGGCCCAGGGGTGGCACTGCTTTCAGTGTCAGATGAGTAGGCACTGAACTTCCTGACATAGGTACCGCCGAGGTGACAGGCTGGCAGAGGTGGATAGCAGCAGTGTGGGGCCTCACTGCCAGAGGGACCCGGCTGAGGAACAGAGAGGACCAGCGCATGGTGTTCGCCCTCACAGATGAGCAGAGACAGGAGAGCTGGGGGCTGGTGAGGGACCTAGAAGACCATTGACTCCTCGGGTTTGCAGAGGCAGAGACTGGCGGTCCCTGCTCCCTTGGTGCCCTTTCTCCAGGACCCGGCTTAGGTGGGCCCCTGTTCAAACCTAAACCCAAACCCAAAGGGGAGTGAAGAGGCTGGGGTTGGTTTGATAAATTCTGAAATGCCTCCAGCGGTGCTGCTGGAAGGGGGGACGTGTAGAAGGGACCCTAGCAGTGGTGTTTGGGACCTGGCATGGGGGAGAGGGGGTTTCTGCCTCACGGGGCTCAGCCTTAGGAATTGCACAATGCAGGCCGTTCTGGTCTCTGAGCTGGAGGGAGTGCCATTTGATATACCTGCTGCTTCCTAGCGTTTGGCCAGGGTTGAAAGTCAGCAAGGCCTGAGGGAGGTGTCAGAATTGCATTGAAAGCACATCTGATAGGTGGGACTTGGGGTCACAGGGGCCAGATCAGGCCATGAGAGGAGCAAGAATAACTGGGAGCACAGGTTAGGTGGAGTTGGGCCCAGGGCGGTGTCTAGGCAACAGTGATATGGGAAGGCAGGCCAGGAATGAGGCCAGTGCCACCAGGGAGCCCAGGTCAGGCAATGCCAGCTGCCCACAAAGCCCCTGGAGCTGGAACTTGTGGCAGAGGCTAGAAGAGGTCAAAGCATGCTAGAACCAGGCCGGCCCTCCTCCTGCCCACAGGACCCCCAATGACAGGAGAGGAGCAGCTGAGTGTGGCTGTGGAATCAGACAAGCCTGGATTTGAGAAAAATGTAGAATGCAAAGTAAAAGCCTCTATCCCTTCCCACACCGACCTCTAAGTTTCGTATTCTTTCAGAAACTTGTGTATATGTGTGTTTGTGTGTATATATATCCTTTCATTCTACAAATAAAACAAAGCACTGCTCTATACCTTGCTTTTATCCCTTGCGTAATTTATTAGCAACATGGAAGAACCACCTAGTTCTTCTTCATGGCTGCTTAGTATTCTCGATGTGCTATGCACTGACTTACCTATCAGTCTCCAGGTGACAGAAATTGAAGTTCTTGATAGTTTGGGGTTATTTTGATACAGTAGCAATTGCAGCATACACCTATTTTTAAACACCAGAATTATTTTTGTAGAAAAGTTCTAGATACAGTTCTGGGTCAGTGTTGTGTGTACCCCCAAACCCAATTTTCTTTCAAAGGGCTTCTACTAGTTCACTCTTGCAAACAGTGTTGAGAGTTATAAATGGTGATAGTAACACAGCCTGTTGTGAGGATTAAATGAGATAATGTATAAAGCTTTTGGCCAGTGCCTGCCACATCAGGCTGCAGGCCAGGGCTCACTGCAAACTGGATCACTGGTCAGGTATCCAGAAAGGTGCTGGTCTGGGTTTCAGAGAAGGGGAGGTGGCAGGAAACAGTGGTCTAACAGTTGCTGAGCAGATGGCACCTTTATTTACACATTGAAGAAATGGCGTGCCAGACACTGGCATGGGACTGGACCAGTGAACCAGGTAGGCGTGGCTCCCCCCTGGTGGAGCAGCAGTCTGGAGAGGGAGGGAGACAGCCAACATGTCTCCACAGATTGTGTGCTAAGTGCTATCAGCACAGGATGCTGCTGCTCATATTGCCCCCTGACTGGGTCTCTCTCCCCCCTGCCCTTCCCTGTCCCTCCCCTGCCTCTACCCTGCCCCCACCCTGCCCCCAGTGTACGTGATGCAACAGGAAAGGAAGAAGGACGACGACATCGGGTGTCAGGCGGCCTTGGCTGCGTGCTGGGCCGCCCTCTGCTGCTGCTGCCTCATGGACAACTTGGAATGAGCAGCCAAGACCCAAGTGCTCCCTCCAGGCGTGCTGCCTCCTGTAACTGGAATAAACAACTAGTGCCGCACAATTTCCATTTTTCTTTCTTTGACAAATACCTAATTTGCAGATTTTTAAATTTTAGCACCGGTGATGGGTGAGAAATGGTATCTCACTATTCCAGTTTACCTTCCCTCGTTTTTAGTGACCTTGAATATATTGATTTGCTTTTACAAATCTTTTGAATTGCCTTTATATCTTCTTAGCCCCCCCCCCTTTTTTTCTATTTGTTTGTCTTTTCTTACTGATTTGTAGGGAGTTTTTAAATATTCCACATACTAACATGTTACTATTATAGGTGTACAAATATCTTCTCCCTGTCTGTCTCTCAATCTTTCTTATGTTGTATTTTCTAGTATGAAAGTTTTTAAATGTCATATTTATCATCTTTCCCTCATGCTTTATGTGCTTTAGTCTTTGAAAACTAACTTCCTATTCTAAGAACATAAAAATAAGCCTATATTTTCTTCTAAAATTTTTCACATAGAATCTTTAGTCCACCTAAATTTATTTTTGATCATGGTATAGGATGAAGTTCTGGCTTTCTTTTTCCATTTTGATAGTTCCAACACCATGTATTGATTAGGTCATCCTTTACCCATTGATTTGAAAAGAGATTTGTCATATACCAAGTTTCCAATAAACAACTGGGCTAGAATCAGAAGTCTGGTATGTTAAACATCTTCCCAGCCCTGGCACATGCCCATTTTTCTTCCTCGGAATTTTCTTGGCTATTCTTGGTCTTTCACTCTTTAATC